GATTAAGTTTACTCTGGGCCCCGATGGCATTCGCCAAATAATAGTAAAAGACTGCTGATGATGCGTATTTGTTGAGCCATTAACGTCACGTAATTAACCTGTCACTACAACACAAAAAATGCCCCTACGTTTCGAAGAAATCGAAGGTTGTACCAATCCATAAAATGAGATATAAAGAATTATCGAGCAGTCGCAGTTATCTCTGTCTTTGCTAAGATCATGGAAACGATACTATATAATTTAATTTATGAGCAACTTAAGGGCTAGTTCTGTGATCAACAGCACGGCTTTCTGCCAGGTCGTTCTGCGGCTACTAACCTTATTAATGTAACATCTATAATTAATGATAATGGGGATCCTAAAAAACAGGGAGTCGTAGCAAATTTCGATTTTTCAGAAAGTCTTCGACCGAATCGATTGTGACGTTCTCTTAGAAAAACTGACCATCACGGTTTCTCAGAAAATTTGGTCACTTTCTTTACAGACTATATCAAAAATCGTGAACGATATGTGTAATACGATGTAACATTGCATGTACATAAATGTATAATATTATTGTAAGTGAACGAGTTCATACAAAATACAAGCAACGATATTTTTTTGAGCCCTGACTGTGCACGGCCCGTCCACGTCCCGGGCTCGGCCCGGATATGGATAGACCTTAAATGAATTATTAATTATTTATTACGTCAGTTAGTTTCATAGAGACTTTTCCTTACCAGGAACAGGATCGAAAGCCATAAATAGATTTTTTTAAATCGCCATTGACATTATTTTGACATATTGTCCTAAATACACATTTTTTCCTCTGATACACATACAGGTTGTAAATACCGTAATCGCTAAGTATAGCTACAGATCCTACAATACTATTCGTGAATTTTGAAATATTTCGATTGGCATTCATAGATTTTGAAAAAAAAGGTTTTGGTGGATTTTGTGGAAGAGCCTTGCCAAACTGTACCAAAATCTTTTCAAATCAAATCAAATCAAATCAAATGCATTTATTCGTCAACATAGGATACAGTACATTGAAATAAATGGTATTAAATAAGTTATAGCGACCCTCTATGTTGCACCTTCAGGCATACGAACTACATAAGTGGATGATGAAGATAGTTATTTTACTTAATTATTATTTATTTACTTAATTATTACTCAATTTTATTTAATGTCAAATTACTTAATTATTACCGAAATATTCGTTTATAGAGTAAAATGTTTCATTAACAAGGTATTCAAATAGATTTCTTTTAAATGTTACAATGTCCTTAATATTCCTTATGTCAGATGGTAATTTATTATAAATCTTGGCACTCATTGCAATAATACTATTACATAGGAGGGCAGATCTGCCACCTACGCTGTCAAGTTTATTATTCCTACGGGCACTCTTAACACAATTAAAGAAGTTTGGATTGCGTCTGATGAAAACTGCGGTATTAAATACATAAAGAGACATTCTATCTGTTCGTTTTAGACCACACATTGCTCTAATACACTTCTTTTGTGCTAGGAACACTCTCTTCACATTTATAGCATTACCCCAGAAAATTATTCCGTAGCGCAATTTTGAAGCTATGAAATCGTGATATGCTGTTAGAACCACCTCGAGGCTAGCTTTCTTCCTTAACATAAATAACGCGTATGAGAACTGATTCACCTTCTTACATATAAATTCTATTTGGGATTGCCATTTCATGTTACTGTCTATATACAAGCCTAGAAATTTAGTAGTAGTGGTCATGTCAACGTCAATGTTATTATTAGTAAATGGGTTCAAGGGGGATTTTGTTAGTTGAAAGCTCATAACTTTAGTCTTACTGAGGTTTATACTTAAGTTGTTATTATTAAGCCACTCTACTACTTCTTTAAGACTGTCAAGTATTTTAGATTTGTCTTCGTACAGTATAGTACAATCATCTGCAAATAGTACCATCGGATAAAGTGTGGATTTTATTATGTCATTAATATAAATTAAAAATAAGAGTGGCCCCAAGATACTTCCTTGAGGGACACCATGAATAAGCGTATTTGATCTGGATGCATATATTTTTTCAGTATTTGTTTTATTGCAGATTCTATTTACTCTTGTTAATTGAATTCTATCACTAAGGTAGGACTTAAGTACAGACAAAGAGTTACCTCGAACACCGTAGGTCTCTAGTTTTTCTAAAAGTATTCTGTGATCAACAAAATCAAAAGCCTTTGTTATGTCTAAAAACAAGGCGAAGACTTCCCGCTTTCTATCCATTCCTGAATATACCCTACTCAAAAACTCATAAACAGCTACATCTATTGATTTTCCTCTTCGAAATCCTTTTTGCTCTTTTGCAAATATGTTTTTGCTTTCAAAATAATCGTACAGGTTATTGTGTATCACTTTTTCAAAAATCTTTGAGAGTACCGGTATTAGGGCCACTGGTCTGTAATTTTTTAAGTCTTTTCTATCGTCTTTTTTATATATGGGCTTGATTATTATAGTTTTTAGTGCGGTAGGGTAAATTCCTTGTTCAAAACAAAGGTTTGCTATGTAGCTTAAAATTGGGGATATAGTAAGACATGTATTTTTTAATACTTTAGTGTTTATGTCGTCATAACCCGTGCTTGTTGTGTTTTTAAGTAGATTAATAATCTGTGCAATAGATCCAGGATCAGTGGGCTTCATAAAAAAAGAGGAAGGACTATTGTGTTTGCAAGTAGATTTGAAGTTTAGATTTTTGTTATGTTTTAATTTCGTAATATTAATATAGTAGTCATTAAAAAGTTGAGCAATCTTTGAAGGATTAGTAACACGTTTACCATCATGCACAATTTCAGTGAATTGTTCCTTAGGCGTAAAATTTTTTTGTTTATTTATAATCTGCCATGTAGCCTTTGATTTATTACTTGACTTATAATTGTGATAGTTATTTTGAGCAAGTTGAGTTAAATTGATTATTTTATTGTATTTTTTAACAAATTTTCTAAAATTCTCTTTATCAACTTGTTTTTGGGATATCCTATATTTCCATAGCAAGGATCGTTTCCTTCTACTGCATTTTATAATGCCCTTAGATAACCACTTTGGCCTCTGTAATGTAGATCTCTTCATTCTGATTACCGGAAAGCAGAGATCGTATAACAGTTTATATAAATCGTAAAAAGCATTAAATGCTTCATCAGCATCATGTTTCTGATATACTTCATCAAAAGACAAGCATTGGATATATTCGCTAAATTTTTTCAAATTTTCCTGGGAGTAATCACGTTTAAAAAAATACCAATATTTGAACCTACATGATTTCTCTACTGGACAAGTCATAATTTGTGCTTTATGATCAGACAGGCCTAACTCTATCACTTCAGCTTTCCCCTTACGAATGTTGTGTATTATATTGTCGATGCACGTACCACTGTTTGGTCTTGTAATTTCATTAATACCGAATTCCATATTGTATTAGTATGTATTGTAGTAGTATGTGTGTATGTAGCTTTGTTTCAATGTTTCAAATTCTTGCGTCATTTTATTATTTCTAGTTAATCTATCAATATTAAAATCGCCACAAATGATAATTTTTCTGTTATTAGATGTCATTGGAGATATAATTTCTTTGAAGTTTTTAGAAAACTGTTCGTAATATTTTGCAGCATCTTTACTCTTTGGTGATTTGTATACGCATATGACAATTAACTTATGATCAACAAGTTCAATTCCACAGCACTCCATAACATATGGTATACTATATTTAGGTATAGATTCAATTACTTTAACGTTCAAGTCATTCCTAGTCAAAATACAAGAACCTCCAGATCTGTTATTACGCGTAGAAAAAGTCCGTAGTTTATAATTCTGCATGCCTAATAGTGAAGTATCTTCTTTGATCATATTATGTTCTGTAACGCATAACATATCAATTAGTTTATTATTACGTTTGAGTTCATTTAATCCTACTATCAATTTGTCTGATTTATTTAATAATCCATTAATATTCTGATGAAGTATGTTTATATGATTATTAATTGATTATACACGAAAAAAATTATTATCAAATGAATTTAATACGGAATCGTTACGATTTGCTGTAGAACCACTATTTTTTGTTACTTCCAATACTCCCACATTTTTAGCAATCAATTCTAATGATAAGCTACTACTTATACCAGTCATCAGTTCATCCAAATCTTTAAAAATCGAGTTATATCCATAATTGTTAAGAGTGCCACTATATTTCTTGAACATACTATAGTCATATTTTAATTTCGAATTAGAGTCATGAATATATGCGTATCCATGTATCTCGTTGTCATACCATAATAAATTATTAAAAGTGCCAATTCTCGAGTTATATATACTGAAACCTATTCCATATTTATAAGTAGGAAGAACAACAACAATATTCGTATATGTAATTTTTTGTAACTTTTCTCTTAGGCTACTAATTAAAACAAAGTAATCATTTGTCTTCTTGAAGTCCTCTTCACCAATAAACACAATACAGAAGTCTCGTTTTGTGAAGCCCGTTAAGTGCTTATCAATTTCACGAGATTCACCATACCTCCTCCTGGCTTCAAATAATGGACAACGGAAAATTCCTCAGAAAATATTCTTTGAGCAGTGGTCAAAATTGTGTTATTCTTATTGGAGCTTAATATGCATATTTTTGGTGTATCTACATTTTCTGTTCTGAGTACTGTTTTTTCCATTACATGTGCGTCTTCATCAATTCCTGCCTGACCAGATGTTACATTTTTCGTTTAGATGTTACGATGTTATGATGTTAGATGTTACGTTTTCGTTAGATGTTACGTTCCACAATTTTGTGTTACTACTTAAAAGTTTTTTTGTCAGAGTTTATTTACTTCTTAAATTATTTTTAATAGAGTATCGTTCTAAAGTCAACATTGTTTTTAATAAATGTTTAAAAAAAAATTATATTTATTGAAGTTAACACTAACAAAAATGAATACTAACATTTATATGATTTCATTTATTCATTCTTTGTTTTGATTATAATCTATAAGACGCATAATTTCGAAGTCCATTAGCAAGCCGTGGTCGTAATTGTATAGATAAAAATTTGCTTAACATTAAAAATGAGTAAGTGTCTCATTTTGAGCGAGGTATGGGTTAATTGTGAGAGACTAGAGTTATGCAGAGGCAGCTGGTGGTGCTGAACTAACGGTATTACTCGTGGCTGTTGATGTAGTGTCATCAGGCTCGTCAATTTGGAGCCATGGCATTCGTCGTTGAAGCTCTTGCCTGTAAATTGTTCAAATGTAATTAACTGTCCAGTAAATATCATAATTAATAATAACGCACACATTCATAACCCCGCACTAGGGAAATCCTGTGTCGCGAGTGCCATGGACACACACATAGACAACTACAAATTACACCCAAACTTACGAGAGAAATAAATATAGGCCATACAAACCTGCCCGGGAATTGAACCCGGGACCTCTGAGTTGCAGACCAGCTTGACAGTTAATTAGGTAGTTTGAAAGTATGGTTTTGTGCACCTTAACACAATAGGCTTGACAATCGTTGAGGAGCACGACCATGGATGTTGTTACGATATTATTTTTGTTTCTTATGTACTATTACATATTATAGTTTGAGGTACTGGCCACTTCTCTGACATTTCATTTTTTCTATTCGTTGATCTACAGAATTCATTGATAGGTTACCTTTCCGTTATATTTACCTGTATTTTGGATGACTAATCGCATAAACCCATGGATCGATGCAGGCAACTGCTTTACACGTTACAGCAGGAATCATTGTTACCTAAAGATAATTGCGCAAGATTAAATTTTAGCTCCGTTTACTATTAATTACTCAAGTTATAAATAACAAAAAATTATTATACCCCTGGGGTAAGTAGTTGTTGGTCACCGAAAGCTCCAATGAGTGACATAACTCCATAAGGCGTCCACGAAGCTACGAATAGGAAGCATACAGTAAGCGCCGCTTTTGCTATTCGGATCTCAGCCGATTGCGCATTTGTATTCTGATTGGAACGCAAAGATTCAACGTTCATCTTTTTAGCCTGTTCCCTGCAAAATTGAAGAAATTTTACTCATAGTTCAACATTTTAGCAAATGTCATTTTTAAATTTATAAGTACCTGCCATAACATTAATAACTGTTCTTTTATTCAGTGGTCATTTACCTTAGAGCTGCTTCATGAGCGAATACTTGTTTAACAATTCCACTGTAAAAGTAGATGATCAAAGACATTGGGAAAACATAGCTGCAAACAAAGATGCAAGCTACGAACAGCTTTGTATCAAATGTATTTGTCAAATAGTCGAAGGTGCACGATGTTAGATATCCCTCTGAAAATTTTAAAATACGTTCACATAATATATATAAGACAGTCTTCTTGACTACAATAACAGATTTCAAGTAATTTTGATACATACCTGGGACAAATCTGCCCCAAATCTTGAATAGCGGCAATAATGCCCAAGGAGTAGCGTATATCCATACAAATGCAATCATCAACAGTGCCTTCCCTCGTGACAATCGACCATCCAGAGGCCGAGTAATTGTTGAGTGTCTGGGCAAAAAAATACTTTATTATCTAAAACATTTTCAACCAGTAAAAGTAGCTCTTTAATATAAGCAGAGTACCTATAGACGTGACTTGGGCAAGGTGACAGAAAGTCTGGATGACCTAAATTTGCCTTCTATTCCATTACACCAGTGTTCCAACCTTAATAACATCGTCGTAAATTATTTGTTAGATTACCTATCGTAAGCGATGCAAGCATTAGTCATGCCAGCGCCGATGCCACTGTAAGCACCCATGACCGCAAATATCTGGCAGCCAAACGCACCGGTAGCGAATCCTCGCATCGCGCTGTTGTAGATGAAAATCGGAGCCTTCGCCATCATGATAAAGTCCAGAATTGCAAGATTCAAAATCAGGAGGTTGCTTGAAGTTCGTAAGCTTTTTGTTCTGTTAAAAAGTAAGTGTCATTATTAGTGGGCAGTGGTCAGCACGTACCTATCCTGTGACAAGACGTTGCTTATAGCATTTAAGTTTATAATGTATGTTTAATACCTTAATACTTACGTGGAAAAGATGAAAATTACAAGACCGTTTCCGATTAAAGCGGCAGCGGTAAAGAAGATATAGAGCAAGGCGAGCGCCGTGTGCGCACTAACCGGCGGCGCGGCGAACCCTAGCCAATGTTCTGGCACCGCCGCTAGATCCTCGCCCGTAAGCCCTGCACCCAGCAGCTCTACATCCCCTGGGCCGTTCGACCTGGGACATTGTATTAGGATTTATTTTGGTCTCTCTATAGCAATTTGCTGTGAATTTGCTTTAGTAATTTTAGTAAGTTAATACAATTTTCAAAATACTCTTCTATTTTACAATTGAATTGTCTAGAAGGGATTCATTACCTGAGGGGTGCAAAGTACGCGCCGTAGCTATAAATTTCCGTCTGGTTCTCCATGCTGATTGTGGGGATCATGATGAGCAGTCCTCGGCAGTGACTGTCACCCCCTGACTGACTGCTGCGGCTCCATTCGCAGCCTTCCATTTTATATCAACGACATTTTGCAGCTAACGAGATCTATGGATTATCCGCGTGGACACTTCTTATAGGATTACCGTAGGAACGCTGCCACTGGCGCGGATTGTGATTACAAGAGCGTTTTGCTATATAATAAAATCAAAGCTGATAACACTGTTTTTCGTTTTCGTTTAATGAAGCCGTAATAGCGCATATTATGATGTGTACGTGTGTAGATATTTTGACTTGTAGTTTTAAAGGCTTTTGTTTGTGTTTAATTTTTGATTCTTGTGAACTTCATTATAAAAGATTCTTAGGTTGTTAGGTTAAATTAAATTATTAGTAAGTAAATGTTGTAGTCTGTGCTATTATTTGTACCGTGAGTCGTTTTCACTGTAGTACAGTTTCAAGTAGATTTTGTTGGAAGTATGTATATATAGTAAGTAGGGAACATCACATAGTTTAAGATAACTGTCAGTCAGTGTACTAATGTTATTTAAGTAGAAGCGTAAATTATCGGTAATCTATGTGGAGTTATTTATAATGATGGATAGCAAATTATTTATATTACAGAATTACTTACTTTAATTAAGTGGCATCAAATCTGTTTAATTATTATTTATTAGTAGATAGCACATTAATCAAAATAAAATTTTAATCAATGTAGGTTTAAAGGTTATTAAATATAATTTAAGCTGGTCGCGCGCAATTTCAGTGAATGTGAAAAAAAGATAGGTGAGACAAAGAAGATATGAAGGTATGCAATCTGGTATGCAATCTCTAAGTACATAAGAAGTAACAAACACGCGCAAAAACGCTCGATGGTAAAGTTACAATAAGTTATGCTAATGAATACAATCACATTTTCTCTACTTTTTTTTGAATTCACAAATGCATTTTCGGTTTCCCACTTGAATCAAATGTTCCTCAATTTGTATGAGAATCATATATAAAAATTGCTTCAGTTTTTAAAAGTCGTAGAACTTTTTTTTATAATATCTAGTGACGGGAAGAACAAGTCATGCGCCTGATGATAAGCTACAAGCCTATTCATAACAGTTGCAGAGCCACTCAAAGCTTAAAATCGCAAAGACCTGAGGAGCACTGCCGCAGCGCCCGTCACCCTGAGACATAAGTTGACGTCTCATGTGCCTGTAATTTCACCAGCAACTTTACCGGTACTTAATAATTGGCAGCAGAAATAAGTAAGGTGGCAGTACTACCCTGGACAAACTCTTTCACCAGGAGCATATTTTAGTAGCAGTAAACTGCTACTAAAATATGAAAAACATATCATAAACCTTTAAAGTATTAATTGTGCCTTTTCTTACATAGGTATATACAGGCTACTTATTTACCTGTAGTTTTTTTTTTTAATAACGCACACACTCAACATAGCCCCGCACTAGGGAAACCCTGTGTCGCGGGTGCCATGGAGACACACCTAGACAACCACAAATTACACCTAAACTCACGAGAGAAATAAATGTAGGTCATACAAATATTTCTCCCGGCCCGGGAATCGAACCTGGGGCCTCTGCGTGGCAGTCCGGCGTGGTAACCGTTCGGCCACGGAGGCAGTTAACGTTGTTACAGTGTATAAGCTTTTAATGCACTTTTTAATACAGTTGCTCAAAACGTGGTATTTTTCGCACTACAAATCGTGCCGAAAGTTGGAATTTTCACACTAGTGCTTTTTACTTTTCTATTTTTTTTTAAATTTACTGTTGTTTCAAATCTACATCACAGAACTAAAGAAGTTTATTATATTAATATATATATATATATAGTATTAATATAGTATTAATATAGTATTAATATAATAGGGGTTTAAATATGAAATTGCCGATTTATTTTACTGGCCACTTTAAATTAAAATTAAACCTGTATGGTGTCCGATTTCAGAGTGAAACGTTTTTCACACGAAAAGTAAAACATGCTTAACTTAAAAAACATGATATTTGATTGTTCGACTTTCAATTGTCTTTACATTCAGCTTTTAACGTGAAGACAGATACAGCGAAAATCTGAGTACCTAATTTTCGAATACGAATTTCCACATGGAGTTAACGTAGCAGAAACTGTCAATGCTGTATTTGGAGAGGATACGGCATACGCAAATACGGCAAACGCCGGCAATACGGCAAATTACGACTTGAAGAAAGAACCACGAGGAAGACCAGTCACAAATGTAAATAACGTTGAATTGAAGGTAATGATGGAAGCCGATCCGTATCAAACTACCACGAAACGTCATGGTTTAATGTTAGCATACCCACAATATGACATATGGCGTTTGAATAATGACGACGGAACTCGCAGCAAAACAGCTTCACCGTTATTGCTCTATGATAACGCAACACCTCACACTGCTTGAGAAACAGTTTTACTACTACAAGACCTGCAGATATAAATTATCCATCATCCTACATATTCGTCGGACCTCGACCCGACCGACTACCATTTTTTCCCGCAATTTGATTTTTTTTTGTATGGAAATAAAATTCCCAGGAAGCAGTACAAAAATCCCTTCACACAGCTGTGGAGTCCAGGTCTCCAGACTTCTATCGCAAAGGTTTAAATGACCTTCCGATTACATGGCAGAAATATATAGACAACAAGGGAAAAAACTTTGATTAAACAAATATATTTAATCTTAAAAAAAATTGTTTTAATTTTTCAGTGCGAAACGGCAATTTCATACTTTAACCCCTAATATATATAGTCTTAGAAGAATAACGCATAGAACGATAGTTTCATATCAAACGAACTGTCACAAGAGAGGCAAAAATCAAATTCATGTAGGCTAGTTTTAGTAGTAGGTTAATTTTCGGTTTTAGTGAATATTTATATAAAAATACAAGTTGAAACGCGTTACTTCCTTGTGGAATGTGATGTTAGTATCTATTTTATGTTTGTCTGACGTATTTTTACACTGATTTAGTCATTTTTAGCTAAAATTCTTGAGCTGTTCGCGGTGCAAGTTGACCTTGAGCACTGAAGGCCCGCCCGCTCATATAGGCCCATTGGGAGCGCTTCAATTTGCCTCACTTAGCGTGTGCGGACTAGGTTTCTAAGCGTTATTATTCTAAGTATATAGTAATATTTATGTGCTTTGTGACGTAAGTCATTCGTCATTAAAACTTATATTTATTTACAAATACTATATAATGAACGTATCGAGTGGAGGTCTCTGCCTACCGCTGAATGGGTGACAGGCGAGATTTTTATGTATATAAACTCTTTTGCAAAAAAAAAAACGAGCACTAGATTTTTTTCTCTACTTCAATGAAGAAGACCAAGAAATAGGTTTTATTAATTTGACGATATATTGGCATGTTATTTGAAGCATCCTGGCATGATTCTTTACGTTCCAAATTTAAAATTTGAAATTAATAAAAGAAAAATAATGATTATTGCCATTGACTTACAAATAAATGGACGACGGGTCTAATACAAAAACCACGAAAAAAATGTCCTAAGTCAACCTATTCGAAATTTAAATTGTTATGTCATCGCAGTATCGCGCTGTCCGTAGAACAAATGAAGACTAAAGCGGAGTGTCGCGCTCTGTATACGATTTTAGCGCCTTACAAGTGCGGACACTTTTTAGCGCGGACCCGACGTCCATATAATTTATGTTAAGTATTATTATATTAAGTATTAAGTCAATGATTATTGCGGATTATTCTAAAATTGCTTTACTAATGGCGCGAATTGCTGAAACGATTTTTAACTGATTACGATATTTTAAAACTTTTTGGATATTTTCTGCAAATTAAACAATTTAATCTTTCTTTTTACATTAAATACCACTTTTTGATATGAGTGATAAAGTGATAAGGGCCGGTAAAATTATAGCCCTACTTGAAGAAGGTTGTTCGCAAACTTATGTGTCTCAGCGGCTAAATGTGAGTCGTTCAACTGTCCAGAGGACTTGGCAACGGTATCAAGAGACCGGTTCGGTCAAAAGAAGACCCGGTTCGGGAAGAAAACGATGCACAGAACCAAGAGATGACCGCTTTTTGGTGAGTCAGGCATTGCGGAATCGTAAGGCGTCAAGTGTGGACCTGAAGAAGAGCCTTGAAGAAGTAAGAGGAGTAGAAGTTAGCTTGTGGACGGTCAGGAGGAGGCTTTTGGCTGCCAATATCAGGAGTTACCGCCCAGCTCGGGGCCCTAAATTACTCCGTGAGCACCGTGTTGCTCGACTTCAGTTTGCTCGGAACTGTGCTTCATGGACTCTGGAGGACTGGAATAAAGTATTGTTTTCTGATGAAGCTAGAATCTCTTTGTGTGGAGAGGACCGACGACGCCGGCGAGTGCTGCGAAGACCACGGGAACGCTATGCGGGAGTGTGTTCGAAGAAATCACTCCTTATGGCGGAGGCTCCGTTATGTTTTGGGCAGCAATTAATTCGACGGAGCGTACGGAGTTAGTTTTCATAGAAAATGGAACATTAAATGCACACCGGTACATAATGGAAGTCCTAATTCCATATGCACAACCCACATTGACTCCGCTTGGGGAAGATTCCATTTTTATGGACGACAATGCTCGCCCGTACCGTTCTGGCGACGTGGAAGCGTACATGCAAGAAGTTGGGATCCGTCGTTTAGATTGGCCAGCTCGAAGTCCTGACCTCAATCCAATTGAGCATGTCTGGGATGTTCTAAAGAGACGGGTAAGATCAGTGCAACCTGCTTCACAAAACATCAGGGAGCTAAAAAGAGTCATTGCAGAAGAGTGGGAACGTATTCCTCAAAACGTTATTAAAAACATTGTGGAAAGCATGCCCAGAAGGATTCAAACTGTGATTTTGGCAAGAGGAGGTCACACTCGTTATTAGGTTTTTACATTTGTAACTTTATTTAATTAAAAAAAGTAAAACAAAATCTTGTCTTTATTGCCGACCACTTCTTATTGTTTGGGCGTGTACATCGGTTTTAAAGAATCCATCGTTTTTTTTTCTTTTAATTGCCCGAATTCACTTCACGCGCATTAATTTACACGATTAAGCTCTTACTTCACTTAATTAACTCAAATCGACTTTAGAACGTAAATTTCCTTAGGTGCCCGTTTTTTTTGCAAAAGAGTGTATTTGTTTTATGTATTACAATTTATCAATTGTATCTCACTACCGTGCACGGGTTCCTAAAGAAGTTTAAACAAAAGTACCAGGACTTCATAATAAGAAAAGTGGTTACAGACCGATATTACAGAAAATAAACAAAAACAGCACGTTAGAACTATATTTGCATCTAGACTTTTAAATAATGGTTGCAGTGGTTGTATTTCATTATTTTAATTTACTAGCAGAAAGTGAGTTTTTTTAAATACTGTTTTATTTTACTTTCAATGTAGTTTTTCCGCAAATGTATTAAAAAACGTCGTTTGATACACGTGCGGATTTGTCATTTTCACTTGTCTCGCGTCTTGACCCTCGCCTCTGGCTCGGGCCAAGAAGCCTCGAGCCTCGTGAATAATGACTAACTTTCCGCACTTATATCAAAAATAACTATTATGTAACATGCAAATGAAACAAAAGTTAAAACCAACAATTTTAATAGACATCACAACAACCATTTGGATCGATTACACGTGGTTAAAGACTAATATCTACATATATCCACACATTATTCTTATATAAAACATCTATAAGTTTTGTATAAAAGTTTCATACAAATTGGCGAATCAGTCAATTAATGACAATGTCGTCAAAGTTTTTTTATTCATTGAACCATTTTAAATTATTTTGAAGTATAGTCAAGAGATTTATAGTTTTTGTCAAAATGTCATAGCTGTAATAAAGTTGCAAATTTAGTAACCTATGTACTTTACTAATATTTACTATTAGGGTATAAAATAAGAAAAATGCAATGACACACCAGGTGCGACACATTGTTAGCAGGTTTTTAAATGAAATCAAAAAGGATAAAGGTAAGGTAATAAATTTATACATTATTTATTACACAAATAGTCTTCTACTTATAGGCCTTATGCGAGTTTCACTTACAATTTCAAACACATAGTTACCTCGCAATATTTTATCAATTTATTGTTCTAGATACCTGTCTTTCACAGTGTCAAAAGACTCCTTACAAACGTGTTTCAATATTGGACGATCAATGTTAGAAGAAACTTTCTTATAAGTGTAGAAAAATGCTACGTTTATAGCAAAGGTCTACGGAACGTAGCAGGGTTTTTTCGTCCTTGCCTAAATTACATTCGTTTTAATCACAATTGACAAAAGTATAACACAAAATATTGTCAAATACATTGAAGACAGATTATTATGTACGGTATAAGTTCGAAGTACAGTTGTAACACACACATATTATTTACACTACTTTCATCATAAACAGTACATACAGTGTTGTAATTAAACTATTATATTGACTAAAATGAATGCAATATTGACAAACATCGCAATTTATGTATATTTATCACATCGTTTATTATTGTTTTATTTAAAATTCAATATTTTAGAAAGTTAATATTGTTTGACTGATCTTGGTATAAATTAGTTAACTGGAAAGTGGAAAAAATAGTACCTGTACGTTTCGGATGCTTTAATTATGTTAATTAAAGTTTATTTATGTGATTATATTTCTTTTACAAAATTCGCTTTTATCAGTCTTTTTTATATAATTTGCAAAGCAACACGTTACAAACAAATTGAAATCTTTTATGATCATTTATCGATGTTTCTTTCATAATAAATTGATTCATGGCTTAGTACGTTAAGAGCACGTTATGCTTGACACTTAAGATTGCAATTCAACTAGAGCTTACGATAAAAACGGCCCAAAGTATTAAGCTTGATGTGCTCCTGAACAAGAATATGCTTATAATTAACTTATATATGGATTGTCTTCAACTACTCACTATAAAATGGGGATACATATCTCTATAAAGTTGAATGAGTGGAGAAAATGCACATCAATAGCGATACGAAATTTAAACCAACGCTTGTTTTTATATGATACTTGAGCTATTTAAACTCAGATTTCATTCATTTATTTCAATCAGATTTAGACTTAGAGTTCTTGTAAACAAAATACTTCACAATATGTGTAGTATTTTTGTAGCATAAATCCTATACTTTCTTGGCCTCATTTTCGCCTCTTTTAATAACGTTTGTCTGCCTATTACATACTTAATACACACATCTACTGATTCAGTCGTTGTTGACTATAGCAGTCTGTTTATTTTCGTCGACATTGCTTATACTGACTACAAGGGAAACTCTTCTATAAACCCTCTACAAATTAGGGCGGCGAAGTACATACTACACAGCCTTGTTACGTCACCGATTCTTACTGTACCATAATGCTAGATTAATAGAACAAGTTTCTATTTTTTCTTTACGCACATTTACTCAACAGTGTTTAAAAAATAGATAATCGCCGCCGTCTTTAAAGATACATCGAAAAGTTCAAAGATAGTATAACACTTCAGGTATAATATAGGATAACCAAAATATTGTATAAATGTTTCAAAACTTTTATCAACAGGTGTTGTCCGCGGGAAGATCGGGTGCTTCAAGAGGTGGAGATGGAGCTTCGGGGTCATCGGAAGTTGACGGAGGGGGTTCGTCGTGACAGTCAGGCTCCGGCTGCTCTATAAGGATGGTGGTGTCGTTGAGTGGCGAGGCGGAGAGTGAACACGGTGTTAACACTAGCCGCGGAGATGGTGGCGGCGACACCTCTAGCCTGCCCGGATCGCTGCTCGCGCCCCGCTCGTGCGCCACTGATAGGCGAACTAACTCTACTGTATCCTTGCATATCTCTTCCACATTTTCTCTGCAATTTGTTTGTTGCTCTCATATAAGTAAATTTTATAAATGTAACTAGAACAAGTTTAAAAAAATTACCTCTGTATTGACTGCTCAATGTTGTTTATATTGTTGATACTCTCTCCTGGAGTTGCTGCAATCGATTATAAAAATATGAAAGTAATTCAATTTTTCAAGAATTTATTCAAAGGAATTTTTTTTTTATAAACACTAAGTGCGCATTTGACCTCCATCTCACCTGATGGAAAGTGATGATGAAGTCGACAATATAGCACGCACACCTCAGTAATGCTTATTCACTCTCGCCTTGAAAAGGTCCAAGTTATAGCGTTCGCGGAATAAGTCCGCAGGTAGGGAATTCCACTCTGTAGCCGCTCGCCATATAAATGGAAGCGAAACGCTTCGTGCGAATCCTGGGAATATCCACAACGTAGGGATGGAATCCCAACCCACGTCTAGTCCACCAAAGATGGAAAGAGGAAAGCGGAATCTAATTAAGCAATTCCACCGCACACTCTTCGTGATATATCCTGTAGAATACCGATAAGCAGCCAACTTTACGGCGGTGTTCAAGGCTCTGCAGCTTCGCCTCCACTAATTTCGAGTCACCTAAAAGCCCCGTGACACGCTTGTCAATTGAATCCAAGCTAGCCAGTTGGTATTTAGCAGCATATATTCTAGATACTAACGATGTAAAGCGTCGTCTCGCAGTCGTTGCTGCCTGGCGAGCGGGCGGCGGCGGGTGTTGTCACGCACACGCAGTGTTACGCCGGCGCATGCGCCGCTGCCATGCAGGTCTAGCGCAAGTGATGACTGAGAGCCGCATTCTGACTCCACCGCGCTTGCGCTGCATTTTGATGCATTGTTGTTAACACAGGTTATTAATAAACGCTATATTTATATGGATAACTCTTATTTGATTGCCTACATGTATGTCATTTATGTATATGTATGTTATTTTATAAATGTATATCTATGAACCACAAACTATAGGAAATGAAGTGCAATACTACTTATAGGAAAAGGGTTAGTAAGTAAATGTACACTGAGGAAGAGTCAAAAATTCAAATTTAAAATATCTTTATTACATGGGTAAGTAAATTATACTTTAGATCGTGAAATACTTTAAACGTTATTTATAAGTGAGCCATATTCATGAAAGTACGAAAAAAGTGGTCACACAGCCATAATACATCTTATATTATCAAATATAAGTACACCTCCAACATAAATTGTGTAAGTTACTTTATTCAATGCTTGACCTAACAACATCTATTTTTAAAATTCGGCTGTATGTTACGTACGTCGCGTACGCGGTACTTTTCCTTTTGAGCCGTCTTATAAGAGTTGACACTCACGATACACCAATATTTGTTGGACGCACAGCTCGCTCGATACCCGCTGCACCACTGGATGTTCAAAGCAAGTTAACGCTTTTCTATTATACAATATTACTAAGTTGTTCTGAGTGTTTTTTGACACAGCAGCCCTCGTAACGCACCAGTGTGATGCGCAACATACTGTAATTGTAGGTAGCTCGATTACCACAGACTGATGTAGATATTTAGGTAACTGTTCTCCCAGAGGGAATAGAGATCGTTTTAAGTGATTTACGGGAATAGTGGTAGAAATGGCCATCTTTATAGCGCGCCAGTATATAATATGCACTCAACGCTTGCAACTTGCTAGATTACAGAATGCATAAAAACATTATGTTTGTTATAAGATCCCCTGTACATCCTAGCCTATACGTCGCCACTGAGTAGCCGCGCATCAGAGTGCAGTAAAGTATATCACGACAGCGCCACCGCGACGATGGTGGCGCTACCGTCGCTACTATGTAAACGCACTAAACTACCTACAAGTTAAGAGACCAAAAAATGTACAATAGTAGACTAATTTGAAATTAAATGTATGACTACTGTTTCATTACTTCCAAGCAGCTTCTAAATCCTGATCATGATACATTTTTCGTAAGAAAATATACATATTGACATAAAACATACCTCATAAAAAAGCATAAACTATGTTTTGAAATTGATTTTAAAGGCTGATTCTTGAAAATTTGCCACAAGCATAGGTCTCAAAATAGCAGTAAAATCATGCATTCTTTCTTGTTGATAAAGTGAATTATAATAATATTTTAAATGGATAATTTGAAGTGTTTACACGATGTTAAACATAAACTAAACATTGATTTAAGGTTTTTTTTATTATATTCTATTAACATTCCATTATAGTCGATGATTGTCAAAGAAAATTAAATATTAACTTATAAACGAAAATATTTAGCATTGGGGTGGTTGTGGTTTGAAAAACTCAGAATGTCCCAGAGAGTTCTCTCAAGAAACGCCTTCACCATAACTCCCAACACCATGTAAGAATAGTAATTTATCTGTCATTTCATTTTTGCGTCACTACGAAAATGACGGTGAGAATCGTTTTCATGTAAACGACTCACATTATTCCATAGATTTAGTATATAGGCATGATTCATATGAAACCCTAGAGGTAGTTCTTTGTAAATAGACATTTGTTCATACCTATTATTTACAATATTTATTTAATAATAAGTATTGTACATAGAAATATCCCGAAAGGTTCAAACGGGTCACTCTCATGGAATTTTTGACGTTCAAGTATACGTACTGCTGAAGCTGTAGAAACAACCATTTAAATAAAGCTTTTGTTCTACGACAGTTTTAAACTCCATGAATGGCAAATTTTGAATATCAACCGAAATCGAATTACAGTAGCGTATACACTGCTCTTTAAAATAATTTGTGACTTTGTGCAGAACATTGTAGAATGGTAGGAATATTTTTGTACCTCGTTTATTACATGTATCATTATTTGTAATAATAAAAATTACCAATCTTCTTTACATAAGTGTAGCGTGATGCCAGTGTAAAAAGGTCAATATTTGTATTGGGTTTATGCGGCTCTTTTTGCTATCAACGCCATCTGTGAGAAACTTTTGAAAATTTTGTGTGAGATATTTATGAAAGGTGTGTCAACAGACGTTGGTTCGAGTCCGGTTAAATCACAGACCACATAAATACTAGGTTAAATCGAATTTTTGTATCTATAATAATAATAATAAACTAGTGGAGTTTTTTCACAAAAAAATTTGAACATAAATAAAAAAGATTTGTTAAAAATAATGCACTAAAAAAATTTAAAAAAATGTATATTTACAGGCACATGGGACTTATCAACTTATGTCTAAGGTGCACTGGCCCTTCAAATCTTTGCGATTTAGAGCTCTGAATGAAACTGCATCTATTATAGACATACGTGTGGCTTACAATCAGGCGCACTTGTTCGTCCCGTCACTTGATGTTATAAAAAAAATTTCAATTTCTTTAAACTTATCCATCAAATACTTGGGGATCCCATTTTTTAATTGCTCTAACAGCACGCTTCTCCAAGATAAATCGGCGATATTTCCCCAAAACAATATGCCGTGAGTTGTTCGACTTTTATTCTAGGAGTAATGGTGTCGCGTAATACCTGACGGCTGAGTGTGGCGGTTCATCGACGGATAGCGCGTAGCGGCGCAGCGGACGACGCAGCGCGCTAACGGGTACGGCGCGTGCACCACTGCCTCTCAGGTCCGGTGCAGATCTGAACCGCGCGCGCCCTGAGCCTCGCTCCGCCTTCGCTCTGTGCCACACATACGCACTACCTGTCTCTACAAGCATCTCGCTTCTGCTACATCTATCTTGCCTAAACCCCTTACGATGAAAGCGAAGCTTTTCAACCAATATCTACCCTATCTTATTACCTACTTTTGATAGCGTAATGTGAAATGCTGTTTTGATGATATGTATAATAATTTGAAGCAAAGGGATCGCGTAACTACTGGGGTTAAATATAAATGCTGTTAAAGTCGTGGTTGAACTGAGGACTTAATATATGTAAAAGGCAAGAGATAAAACAGCGAAATGGAATCATATGATGGTACCCGAAACTAAGGGATTGTAACGAGAAGTTTTAAACCTGTCGGCAGCATGGGGCCTGTGGTGATGTCTATGCGGGGGTAAGAGCGGTAGTTCATGCGGTAGCGGCAGCACGTGCGGCAGACGGTAGACGCCGAGCTGGTCAAACCGCGTAGGAGCGCAAGGCGGGCATCGCCGCTGCGCTGGCCGCGGCATCGCTGTAGGCCGCGCTGGAGTTACCTTCGCTGCGCTATCACGTGCCTCAAATGTCATCACGCAAGCTGCTACTACTATAAAGCCTGAAATACGTGAAATTAAAAGAAATACAAAATCAAATCAACGTTAACATTATGTAATGCTACGAGCATTTGGGGTCATTTTGCTTTAACTGTTTTTACCATTATAAATCTATCAAGCATAATTTCACGTTGTTATCGTTGAAGTGCTTGTCACAGAGATATATAATAAGTATCATTATAAGTAACAGAATTATGTTCGTACAATTTGATTGATGATGTTTTTGGTTGAGTTTGTACGTGACTTTTTATTGTCATTGACTGTTAAAACAATTAACCGGCTATCACTAAACAGTCTATTACTAAAGTTATTTAAGTCGTTTGAATAACTTATCTAATTTCAGTAGCGTGTATTATGCGTGTGTAATAATTTCATACAAAAGACATCAACGGGGTACCATGGGTGCTCTAAAGCATCAATATTTTGGCAATGCTTTTTATTGTCTACTATTTATTGGTTACCTCCAAATCCCATGACGATGGGTCCAGCATAAGAAAGATTGTTAAGATGGAAGCCGCGAGCCTCGTCCTTGACGGATACCGTGGCATTGCCGCGGATCTCTTGTGCTACGGATAACTGGTCGGCGTAGTAGCCTGGAATATTAATATTATTTTTACTCTCCCCTATTGCATATCAAACTGTCCTATTGTAATATGTGTAATCTGAGCTGTAGGTACTCAAAACAATTGTATAACAATTAACGATAAATATCAAGGTTATAAACAATCGTAAAAAGAATATAAAACAAACTAAATAGAAAACAGTTAATTTCATTGTTGTAATAAAAGATAAAAAGTTGAAGACATAAAATAATTACACAATAACACACACTCAACATAGTCCCGCACTAGGGAAATCCTGTGTCGCGGGTGCCATGGACACACACATAGACAACCACAAATTACACCCAAGCTTACGAGAGAAATAAATGTAGGCCATACAAATATTTCTCTCGTCCCGGAAATCGAACCTGGGACCTCTGCGTGGCAGTCCGGCATAATAACCGTTCGGCCACAGAGGCAGTTATTATATAGTAATCGACATTAATGTGATATTAAAACGATTGGTTTTATTAATTTAATAAATAAGTAATAATAGGATAACCAAGGGTAGTATATACTGCCCTTCTTAGTATAACCAACGTAATCGACATTTTTAGCGAAATTGGGTTATTAACATATCTGTAATTATTGGAACGAGACCACAACCCCCTAGAAGCGGTTTTTTAAATATATTTCTTTTTACTTTCAGCTTTATTGTTAAACTGGGTTGACATTTCTCGAAGAAAAAATACTGCAGGAGTCAATATGTCGAAAGTTGCCAAAATGCAAATACGTTAGTTGTGACGAGGAGGGCATCATAATAACAGCATCGATGACTCGAACAAGGGATTAATTATGTCAGACAGTCTAGAGTTAAGGTCAGGTGGGGTAAGAGGAACATACTTTATTTCGAGACAACTGTTATGAACTCTACGAGGTATAAATAATGTCTTATACGAATTTCGAAATACTGTAATCTTGCCCTGGTTTAACAGCTTTCCATATTTTAATATTCGTTACGCTAAAATTAATACTTACGATGTATCTGACAGAAACGTTCAGGTTGGGCTAACGTTTCTCTTCCTCCAAAAAATGGGGTAAGAGGAACTGTCATCGCATTTCGTATAAATATAATATATATTTAAATATATCCGTAGTTAAGTCCTAAGTAAGACTATTTCTATCGAATTTGATCTTAAAACCATTGCAATAACGTATAGTTATCAAAAAAAGTGAAAAGTTAATTTTGTGGCAAGAGGAACATATAAGTTAAAGTCAGGGGTGACAAATTAAAGAAAAGTGAACCTGTTATAATTTTTTTAGTACATACAAAGCATAATAAGGCGCATTTTAACCACTCGTTTACAAATCAACACATTACGTAAGTTAAGTACTTTTTAAACATCGTCATAATAGAAAAACAATGTTTGGTCCAAAAATAAATTTATATTTCTAACAAAATTTATTCTTCTCTAGTCACCATAACTACTCTACTTTGACAATCGTTTCACTAAATCAATTGAAATTTGATATAGAAGTAGTGTGGCCACGTAGCTAACTTGCAATGAGCCATTTTTGTGTTTGTTCTTAGATTACGTTATTATTTTAGAGTTTACGCAATTTTTTTTTGTTTACGACTAAAATATTAAATTTTCTAAAAATTCCTGATGGAAAAAAATGTGCTACCAGAATTTTACTGATGGCTTTAGAAACTACCTTAAGATGTGTGATTGTTTACACATAAAATTGTAGTGGTGTATTTATTGTAACAATCTTCAGAAATTAACATCATTCATCAAATTTTAGTAAAATTTACGATTACAATCAAAAACGTTATTTGAAAAAAACTTTACTTAATTTCTTAAAAGTATGTATATATATTATGGATATAAAGTTGTGTTTGTTCGAATAGGACAATATTCCATTATGACGATTCCATTATTCATCAAAAAGTTTGTCACCCCTGATACGGGGGAAGAGGAACGTATGTTTCTCTTACCCCGTAAGTACTAGACCCTCTTACTCCAACAATGTTTTTGGCGGTTACAATTTTGATTACAATGAAACTCGTATAATTTGTTGTTTTTGGACTGAAATAACTAATAAAAAGTAAAACTTACTGTTTTCTGTACGTGTTTTTCTATAAAAATTATCTCGTGTTTTCAGACTACACAACTGTCAATTTTCTTTTCTCTCTCAAATTTGGAACATCGTAACGACATCTCTTTACAGCCGTTGAAACTAATTTGACTAAACGCTTCATTTTAGTCCCTCTTCCCCCGGTGTTCCTCTTACCCCACCCGACCTTACTATATAAAATAGTCGGGTTTTACATTGACTTACAATTATATGGACGTCGGGTCCGCGCTAAAAAGTGTCCGAACTTGTAAAGCGCTAAAATCGTATACAGAGCGCCAAACTCCGCTTTAGTCTTCATTTGTTCGACTGACAGCGCGATACTGCGATGACATTACAATTTAAATTTCGAATAGGTTGACTTGGGACATTTTTTTCGTGGTTTTTGTATTAGACCCGTCGTCCATTTATTTGTAAGTCAATGGGTTTTTATCATTATTTAGTTAATAAAACAGTAAGTAGGTATTCAGTACAGAATAAAAATGGTATGTGTATAATGTGCAGTTTCGAGACATTCGTCAATTCATTTATTTTGTTTATCTACACACATATCGTAAAGCCTCTATGATGTGTTCAAAAACCACAAATTACGACCAGTATAAAAATAAACTGTTTTGTTAGAACAAATTTCTTTCTTTTATTTGTGAAAATGTTATTATTGCTTCATAATAACATCGAATTCGATTTTATTATAACATTAAAATTTCGAACATCTCTGAAAAACAAAACAATGTGATTCGACCTCAATTCTAATATCAGTCGAGATGAAATTTTATTCGAAATGAAATGTCAATAGCAAACAATTTTGATAAATTTCACACGTTACTTGATATCGATACTGATAACGATATGATAGTTGAGGCTGACTCTAGTTTATCTATGAATTAAATAAAAACTACGGATTCGATCTGGGCCTTTTGGAGGGAAAAGTGTCGTTTTTATTTTGACTTTCAATTATTTTGTGAAATCTAGTTTAAAGTGGAATAGGATAGTGCTATTGTGCCTTAATCGAAGATTAAAACGCGAAATTATACGAATCTCGAACTAAACTACCCGTATCGGCCCGTTTTAATGAATTCCGAGTTAATCCAAGCACGCCGCATCAAATTGTCTATCCTCTTTGTGGCGGCCATATTTACAGAAACATAATTAAACGAAGATATGGCTCAAAGGACTTGTATCCAAGCCAAAATTATTAATAAAAAAAAAAATAAAAACTACGGTTGTGTGTTCCATTCTCTAAGCTTGTGGGACATAAAGGATGGAAAAAATAAAGGAAAAGTTGTATGACATGCGTGAGTTAAGTTTTTATTTGCCGCCATTTCATCAGCCGTAACATGCGGTTCCTGAACACATCATAGAGAGCTTTTAATATGTGTATAGATAAAGCAGTGTATGTAACTGTTCATAATTAGGCATTAAAACACTAAAACACATAAACCCACAATCGTATTTCAATGCCTTTCATTATGTAACAGTCACATTAACTTATTATTTATTTGCTACTAAATAAATACTTTTTTAACAAATTTTTTTTCGCGTGCAGGTCAGTTGTGGAACAGAATCCCTTCCCATATGCAATCTAGGAACCTGTTGATTGCTTCTCTTAAGAAAAGGTTGATCGTAAAATTTCATGCTGACGTCTCTTTGTTGATTTTCTTACCTTACTGATTTCCTTTCATGTTTAAGTGTGTTTATTGACGTTACTTATTATACGTTATGTATTTTCTATGTCCTTTATTTGATTATTATCGTTTTATTTATCTGTTAGTTTATTATATTTCTCCCTCTTTCTCTCTTGCACGCTGTTGCCAGCTTATGATCTTTGTTCTCACTCACTGCCTTGGGTTGGCTGGAAGAGATCTCTTTTAGAGATAATTTTTGTTCAATTAATATTTCTTTTGTGGAATTAATATTTCTTTTATATTTGTTTAGTGCAACAAAGAATATATTGTACGGATACTTCATCCAGCTGTTTTAAAAGTAGTGACCGCGGTATGGGTGAAACCGTAAGGAAAATTACACCACTTGAAAGTAGAGGTTTATTTCATTTTACATTACGTACTAAATAATTGTTTTATTCAAATGAATAAATTTCATATTATACATAATTTCTATAGATAATACGATGAACTATCATTTCCGCCACGTTACACTGGTAATACATTGTTCTTTTAAGCTTTTATGTAATGAAAGTCTTAGAGATAATGCTTAGTAAGAACAATTGTTACTTCGATAATCTTTCGATACGTTTATATGTCGTATTGCACACAGCTAAATATATGGCATTATCTTGAATGCGTAATGTCCCTTTCCACATAGCTGCCATCTTGTCACCGAGAATAGCACCCGTAACCCGCTTGAAAGTCTCAATAATAATTTACTATAATTTATAAGTTTATTCGAAATTTTACTGACTAAATACCAAAAGTTACATTCGGATTTCGATTAGGGTTTAAATTAGGATTTAGATATCGGCGTTTACGACTTCTGGTCATTATTACTTCTGTTTATGATTACAATTCGTAGTTTTCATTACACAAGTGTTATTTTTGATGTTTTGTTACCAATCAAGAAGAAAAACTTGTTTCACTTTCACACAAAAAATCTCGTAGCCCTCAGATCTACTTATTACCCGTTGGCGTTAAATTTTTTACTTTTTTTTTGGCAGCTATCCAATAAATCTAGGCAATGGACAGTGGTCCAAACGTCTACTCACTTGTCAAGTGTTGATTGTAGCAAGTTCCTCTGTTTTGGGATACTTAGCCCAACCAAATTGTTATGAGCTAGAAGGTGTGAAGTAAACAGCGCAACTAGAATAGCGATCCAACAATGTCCAACGATATGAACAGGTATCACTGCGGCGCCGGATGCGTCGAGCCGGAAGTGTCAGCGCCGGAACCGCTCGCTCGATGACAGGATATATCCCGCACCGCTTTTCACTTACACCTTGTCTTCAAATTCAACGATATACCAACACAAATTTTCTTACTTAAATTGAGGCTATCAGCGCAACAGTGGTGTAACACACATTCCATTTTTTTTCTAGAATATTACTTTAAATGATACTTAAGCACATAATTATTTCATATTTGTGTGCTATTATCGTGTAAAAAAATTATTAATAATTAAATATTTTTAATACCTAATAATAGTATCCAAATATAAAATAATTATTTACTTTAGTATCATTTAAAGTAATACTGTAGAAAAAAATAATTGAATATGGGTTACACCACTTTTGCGCTTATAGCTTTAATTTACTTAGCGATTTATAATAATTCTTCAGACTGTTCCATTGACTTACAAATAAATATGGACGACGGGTCTAATACAAAAACCACGAAAAAAATGTTCCAAGTCAACCTATTCGAAATTTAAATTGTAATGTCATCGCAGTATCGCGCTGTCAGTCGAACAAATAAAGACTAAAGCGGAATTTTGCGCTCTGGATACGATTTTAGCGCCTTACAAGTACGGACACTTTTTAGCGCGGACCCGACGTCCATATAATTGTAAGTCAATGGACTGTTCATAAGTTTTTAGTTACTCCATTCACTTAATAATCATTTAATCTATATTCCGACAATCTATTGTTAAACTATATTGTCTTTGGGAAAATGCTGTCCTAGAGACAATGCGCAGACTGACTAGAGCTTCTGAACGTTTATTGGCAGTTATTCTATCATAAAGTAATTCAAAGAGTCTTCATAGTGTTATGATTCGTATATAGTAGTGTATTTCGTTCCGTCGTTAGATAATCTCGGCGTCTGAAATACATAATCTTCAATATGCCGTTTGTGCCTGCTTAAGGGCAAACGTGATAATTTGATATGTTCCACACCATACCACTATACAGTGCGACAAAATAGGTTGGCACAGAGTAGCATAAACCGCGGGCAAGATATAAAATCGTAAAACAAGTTTGTCAGGACACTTTGTAAGTGGCTGAAACGCTTACCGCGAAAGGTCAGGAGAAATAAGAAAAAGAAATAAGTTTCCTATGTCTAATAGTGACAACTTCAACTTGTAGCATCCAATATATAGTCGATGATCTACCAGTTACCCGAGATGCCTAATGTGATGGATCCCGCGATATTTGTGTACTAGTGTGAAGGTTTTGGATGGGTAATGTACTGAAACTGTGTCAAATACAGTGAAGTCAGAAATAAACAAAAATTTTATTTTTAATACCAGTAGAGCTCCTTGTGAAATAGTTCGTCCCGGGAAGTACTGCCACCTTACTTATTTCTGCCGCCAAGCAGTAATGTGATCATTACCGTGTTTTGGTTGTGAAGGGTGTTGGTGAAATTACAGGTACATGAGCAATGTCAACTCATGTCTCAAGGTGACGGACGCAGTAGCAGTGACCCTCAAATCTTTGCGATTTAAAACTCGGAGAGGCACTGCAACTGTTGCGTTGGAGTGTGCTTACCGCCAAGCGTACGTCTTAAGGTCTATCCACACATGTCCGGGACGTGCCCGGTACGTGGACGGACCGTGCTCCGTCAGGAGCTAAAAAAATATCGTTGCGTATATTTTGTATGAACTCGTTTACACATGTCCGTGTCCGGGCCGGGGCCGGGACGTGCCCGCAGTTCATACAAACTAGTACCTCCCGTCAACGTTCCGGGCTCGGCCCTGATGTGTGTGGATAGTCCTTCATTCGTCCCGTCACTTCATGTCATAAAAGTAAGAAGGCCTTCAAGAAGTAAGATAAAATCATTGACTTACAATTATATGGACGTCGGGTCCGCGCTAAAAAGTGTCCGAACTTATAGGGCGTTAAAATCGTATACAGAGCGTCAATCACGCTTTAGTCTTCGTTTGTTCGACTGACAGCGAAGCAAGCAAAATTAGACAGTACTACGATGACATTACAATTTAAATTCAACGTTTTAGCTTTTTCATATTCCTTTACATGTCACTACGTTTAAATACGTTGACTTGGGACATTTTTTTCGTGGTTTTTGTATTAGACTCGTCGTCCATTTATTTGTAAGTCAATGGGTAAAATGTAAAATATTTCATATGAAAGCAAATCTAGTAAAATATGATTTGTTTGTTGTAAATGTTTAGCGAAATTGGGCTTTTTTGGGTGCTTATGTTTAAACGACGACACGTGCTCTTGTATGTAGTCGTAAAGCTCTGTCGTGTTTGACCAATATATCGACCACAGAAATGACCTTACTACAAAAGACATTTTGTTATAAAGGAAAATGTTCTAACGACAAAATATCTCTTAGAACATTCCAAATTTCCACCGGCGATATAAGGGTAATAATTTTGTCGACATATCGAATTTTGACATGTCGTAAGGGACATTTTCCATTACGACAAAAAACGTTCCTTATGACATTTCAAATTTCCACAGTCGACATTAGGCAACATCACATACGTTGCTCTGATCCCAAAGTAAGTAGCTAAAGCACTTGTGTTATGGAAATCGGAAACAACGATGGTACCACAAACACACAGACCCGAGACAATATAGAAAAGTTAGTTTCTACACTGAACCGGCCGGAGATCGAACCCGGGACCTCAGAGATGGCGACACCATGCAAAAATTGGTGTGCAAGCCACTCGATCACGGAGGCCGTCAAATAAATAATGTAAAGCCCTATATATTCTTACATGTGTCACAGGTGAGCCTATAAACTCTCGACTTTTTTCCACGTTCCTTTCTTTCTTTGCCATTGCAAAGTCAAAATCCATTGCAAAGTCAATACGAGTTGCGACTTCTAGAACACGCAACGATTTTAGTTCTCAATAAAATCAAAATCCATCCATTTATAACTTTTGGCTACCCCAGTTGTAAAAACTTAAATCTATGGAAATGCTATGGTACGATCAGAGCGACAAATCCTTTACATGTGACATGTGTATTGGAAATGTTTCGTTCCATATATTTGAATTGAAAAAAATCGTAAAAGTCGTCTCATAGTACTCGAAATGGATTTAGGCTCAACTCATACTGGCGCAGGTGGAAGCATTTAAAGCGATTGTAATTTTTTAAAATAAAGTAAATATCATAATTGTATATTCAAACTCGAAAGTACAACGTACCGATTGTGGCCATGGCAGCTCCAAGCAGCATAAGGAGCAATCCTGCAGAGAGCGCCCGGCATGCATGCCACAAACATTGCGAGCTCATCTTGCCTCGCACCACCTGCACAATAAATTTCAGAAGTAAAACAACATACGATACTTAGCAATGGTAATATTTCAAATAGTTAAATTGAAATGACTAGGCATAGTATGTTCGTTATTGCGTCATTGTTTTGATTTGTTATTAGGTTCATTATTATTCAAAAGTTCGCAACGTTTCATATTTATGAACAACATAAAATATAACAAAACTTGAAATAGGCCTGTATTGTTGTAGAAGTAAGTGATTTTAATATAGTATAATGTAAGACATTAAAAAATTATAATCACAGTTCGTCAGGAGGACCTGGTTAGTCTATTGGGATATTCAATAACATTTTCAGTGAACGGGAAATTTTCTTATTTTTTTTCGTGATTTATAGGCAGAGATCGGAAAAAGCAGCGTGATTTACCATGTATTTACCTAAGAGTCAAGAAAGTACTACACATAGAGTGGCTAAAAACTTTCTAAAATTTTTGTGATTTATTTAGTTTTATAGTTTTTATGTGTAACTAGTAATTATTTTATACGGTAGCGTATTTGGAAGAAAATTTTTATTATACATATATTTTTTTATAAAATGTAAGTGCGCATTTGACCTCCATCTCATCTGGTGGGAAGTGACGATAAGGTCGACGATGGAGCATGCACACCTAAATAATACCTATTTACTCTTGCCTTGAAAAGGCCTAAGTTATAACGTTCAGGGAACAAGTCTGCAGACAGGTAATTCCACTCCATAGCCGTAATTATACACGTTACACATACGTTTTGCTTTTTTATCTTTTATTCCGGGATTTCAGAGATATTATCCACTCTATGTACATATAGTACCGTAGGTATAATAAAGTCACATGTGATCATACGTTAAAAGTGCTTTTATCACATGGTAGTAATAAAAATAATACGAATTACATGAAAGAAATCATGTATATGAAATTTAATCTCTCCTATTTAGGCAAAAAGTTATCAACTAATTGTGTTCGCAGAATCTTTAAACCTCTCTCCTGAAAAGTTGTAATTTTGCAGATGTGCCCTTGTTACATTGATGTATTTCTAGAACTTTAGGTGACTTTCCTCTACCTACAATCTCCGTTTATTTGGGATAATAGTTTTATTGTATTTAAAAGAGTTGCGTGCGCAACAAGTCCTCAACTCAACAAGTTCCTTGCCTCAATCGGTCACAATCACTAAACACAGATATGTTTACTTATATCATCCATTTCGAGTAAAGTTTATGGTTTTCGGGAGAGGTATTGTATTGAAAGATGGGTTTGTATACATATTAGCGTATATGAGGAGGTAGTACCTGGACGTTCCAGGTGGCCCCCGATGCGGGGTGAGCGCGCCGCAGCGGCCCCGTGACGCTACGCGCACGCCTCATAGCGACTGCCGCGCGTTCCTTCGCGCCTTGCCACTACCACTGCGCGCGCATACAGCCTCTTTGCTCCAGGCCACCTACATTCTAAACAACCACTTTTCATTGAACCACGACATTTCCTTAATCAGTAACTGTTTCTTCTCTTTTTCGTTACAAACTTTTATAGAACGTGGGTAACGATTTGACAGTTCCCTTCAGTATGGCCAAGAATCGAGTCTCCTAAGGAAATCGAACTATGACCGTACTGTACCACCGTGAAATACCTTTGGAACTGAATGTCGTTTACTATAGGGGAGTGTGTGGGGTAACTCTCTACATTACTGATTTTTTGCTTCTACAAAATGAAATGGAGGCCGCAAGCTTTATAATATGACCGTTAGCAAATGTAGATATACTGTGGGTATGATGATATCTATATATCTACATTATATCGATCTGGCATTATCTCGTTTCGTTTTAGTTGTTTATTAAGGTACATTGACTGTTCCCAGCACAGTAACTCAACGCGGTCTACCCTTTGGAAAATTTTCTCTTTGTAAATAACAACGGATTACTTGTTAAATCTCGGTTGTGTGAGACAACAGTTTATTAGCCGTTTTCTTGGAAGAGTGGATATTTATTGTCTTAAAAAAATTTAAAAATAGGAACAGCTTTTGTACAGCTGGTTTCGGTGCTACGTAATTGTATTTATAATAGTTTTGTATGTATTAACTTTTTTGTATTAAAATTATTATTTTATTAATTTATTCGTTAAAACCCTTTGTTACAAAGAACATTAAAAGGTCAATATATATGTATAGGTATTTCACTTAAATACTGGTCTGGGAAGACATAGCGTTGAAACAAAGTAATAAAGGTTTGAGAATAACAATGTAAAGGAATAACAATTTTATACCAAATTATGAATACTTATTATAGAAATGCAAATACATGTGGAAAATCCTAATCTTGTCTCTCCTACCTACAACTAAGTATATATCTGTAAAAAGTAAGTGTAAAGATACTTACGTGAATAAGCACTTTTAAATTAAAAAATATGTTAGGTTATGTTAGATTAATGTACAAGTACAAAATGTAAGTAGGTCATGAGGCGGGATAACATCTGCCAGCTATCGCAAAGAACTGTGTGTAGCGATAGAGCTAAGTAGAGATAAGTCACAACTATTAGACCTGATTGGGTAGTGTCTGTGTCTTAGCAAACTTTATAAACACAAAAGTTAACTTCGAAATGTCTCTTTATGTTATTCTCTATACGCTGTAATTATATAATTCGACCCATAGCTGCGGTACATTTAACTGAAATATACGACATATCGACACAAAATACTCAAAAGTTATAATTTGCCCCTAGCAGTGAGTATATTTTTCAAGTCATAACTTTATCTGTGTTTTTGTACGTATAAACAGTTGCCACAACCTGAAGGCAAGCGCATTGTTTGGCGCCATATTAGGGTTTCAATTTATACGTTTTCACGGTACGTTATTTCAGCCCTCCATTTCACATTGTTCTTCGAACTGCGCACACAATACTCGTACATGTGTATTTGGTATGCGAATTAATAACTCTTTATAACAATGCTAAACTAAAAATAATAATATCCAAATAAATAAAAAATATCCAATCTCGAGAAGGCTAAAACCACTCTACCATTCTATACTACAACCGTCGTTTACTTTTGCACAACAAAAACTAAAAACACAAAAGCTCACGTACGCTCTTTAATTGTTTCATGTATTCGGTTTTGTTAGCGAACAATTCATGCAATATGTAATACTGCGGAAGTTACTCCGTGCAATGAATATGTACTGACAGTCACAACTTTATAATGTGCACTCATGTCGCATATTGTATCCGTTCCACTAGCAGCATTTTAAATTATTGCGGAACGGACGTAAAGCAGCAGACTGCTACGGCGTAGCTCGTAGCGCATTGCTGTGCCACAGGCATCGAGCATATAACCCCACTGTACAATCAATCTTATATTATTACATTTTTGTAAATGTAGCACACTAAATTGTATTGCTCAAGACTTTGCATATGCTTACAAGTTATCTTAATATGGATTTAATATCAATAAATACAGTTGTCATTCAGCACTCGCCATCAGTCGTTCTTAATCATCATTTTTTTATTCGGCCATCTGTCATTTTCATATCATTACATTATTTAGTGCAATTTTTATCATCTAATAGCTTGCCACTTCGTTTTGGTCCATCGAGCTAAAAACCAGTACGGTTTTCAGATACACCAGAATACTGTATTTAGTTTATCATAGCTAGTGAAAGCATCCGTTCACTGGTAATATGTAGGAGGTTATTTGAGCATAGCAATTCAATGCACCATATTATCGGGTACTTCGTGTTAGCACGATTATTGAAATCAGCCGTATTTTAAAGACCACATTTATAAGGAAACAAAAATTACTTGTCAGGCTACCCGCAACCTGTTATCTTGACAAGGACGAAAAAGCTACGCAACCTTGCGGCATGGTTGATTATAAGTGTTGACACTACAAAGTACGGTTTGGATATTTGCCAAATGTTTATTTATTTTTCATTATATCATAATAATTGTGTTCTTATAACATAAATGTTTATTATAATTAAACTTAATGCTTAATTAACATTTTTGTTTCCGAAAATTGTATTGATATTGTATTTGATTATAATAACCGGAATGTTTTGCATGAATTACTTAATAAATCAAATATAATATACTTTTCATGAAAACAAAACAAACTTTAAGCTCAAGAGGTCCAGAAGTTATAAGACAAAATGTAAATTTATTGCTCTCCTACAAACTACTCTCAATTGATTTGGGAGTAAACTATTTGATTTATAGCTTTTGTAATGTTTTTGCTTTTGTGAAACATGGGTATATTACGTGTATTATTTTTGTAGACAATGGCCAGCCGTCGATATTAATGATCACAAAGATGACAGCCCACCGATTTCTTCATAATCTGGAACCCAATTTTCGACTAATGTACCTAACGTATAGTTAATTGATGGTTGACGATTGTGCATCTGAAAGATGTGTCCGGTGGTGGGAGCAGCGGCCGGGCAGGCGGTGGGTGCGGGGCTGTCACGTGGAGCTCGGCGCGCCGGCGCGGCCGGGTCGCCCGGGCACCGCGGCCGGGCTCGCGGCATTCCCCTGCCGGCAGCCGGCCGCCTCACTATGCGCGCCGCGCCGCGACACGCCGCGCTCGCCGCGGTCCACAGCTCGTCGGGTGCAGAATCCGAGGCCCTCTCCAGGGGCCGCGCCATCGGCGCCGAGTCACGTTAGCCGCTGTCGTGTATGGTGGAGCGCGTCGGGCGGGGGGCGGGGAGGCAGGTGGCGTCGCGCAGGTGCGGCCCGCGCCCGGCCCGGGGCCGCATTCGCAGCGCGCGGAGGCGCGGGCACGCCGCGGCGCGCTCCCGTCGCCCTCGTCGCGCTCATGGAGCCGCCCTGGGAGCTCGAGCTCGAGCTGCGCCGCCACATTGAGAACTGCTCCTGCACTTGCGACCACATGGGTTACGGGAACTATATGGATTACCAAGTGGCGCCGGCAGCGCACGCTTGCCTATGCCGCGCGATCACCTCGCCGCACGCCCACGTATGTGTCAACCCCCCGTGTTCGCTCTATCCACGCTCGCCCCTGGCGAATAAATCTCATCCCGCATGGATATGCCCTGCTGCTTCGGTCCGCTAGGGATCGTCACATGCTGTCTAATTTTTAGTTTCTGTGTGTTATTTCAAGTAGTTGTTATTAACTGGTTGCCTTGGCCTTATCATATTTATATTCAGTGAACTTTGCAGGTTAATAAACCTGGAAAAAACTCCTTGCCAATTTAATGCCAATAATTATTTAAGTCAGATGCCTGACTATATAGATTTATAAATTTGAGTTTATCAAACAACCGTTATTAATACTTATATCAAGATTAGGTAAATCTAAGGACATGATAAATACGAAGGCCTAAAAGATAGAGGTAAGACTAAAATGCCTACTATTTTACACCACAAAAGTTTCCAAATGGAAACATCTAAGAAAATACCATCCAGGTTTAATAATACTGCGTAATGTTATTTTGATTAAATACTGTTCATGTAAACACGCGTGTATACTTATTGTTTGTTTTGACCAATGCACTAGCAGCGGAGAGACAGCAGTTCATCGCCTGACGTCCACCCAGTATAGTTCGCTTAACTTGTATTGACAGGTTTATAATAATAATACCATTAACTTTTCCTTTAGTTTTCTGTTCTGGCTTTAATTGTACAGTTCCATTGGTGTTCCTATTAGTATATAGTTTGTGGACATTTTTAGCACAGTTCGTATTGCGCCTTGGGTCTTTGAATTCAATTAAAGTCTTTCAATCATTTCAATCAAACTATAAAGTATGTACAGGACACATATTTAAAATTATTTACAATATATAACTACTGCAATGATTTTACATAATAAATTAATTGCGAACTGAAGCATTCAAATAACCGAAGTAAAAGTTAATTTCTCAAATATTTTATGACTTACTTTCTAATATTGTAAGGTAGATATTGAAAAAAATATGAACGTTAAGAAAACGTAGTTAGAGTACAATGTAAATTTGTATCGAGACAAACCGTCGTTTACCGTCATAAAGAAACTTGAATTTTATGGTACGTACAGTATTATTGCAAAACCTAACACATGTTTGGACTGTAGTGAAATATAACACAATCCTAACATTTTCTCCTAAGAAAAGAGTCGTGCTCATCTGTGAGACGTATATAGGCAGATATACATATATACGACACAAATTCGCGTATAAGTAGCAAATCAAAAACAAGCATGCAAGTAGATTTTTATTTCTGAGCACATTAGGTCGAGGGGCTATAAAATTTTACACATGTGAGCTCATTTCGCCGTGCGAGGACACGATCCTCCCTTTACATCTTATTCAGGCCGCACTCAATTTTATAGCACTAAAGGATTTACTGACATCGCCTTTACAGTATTTTAATCATCTCTATAACATTTTATTGTATTTGCTGATAGGTGATTTTTACAATGATTGTTGATAGTTGTGTTAACTTAAGCTATTAAGCTAGCAAGATCTCTTTAAAATATCAGTAACTGCAACCGATTACATTATTAAAGACAAGTTTGTAAAAAGTGAAAGGTACATTCGGTACTACTTAGTTATAATTGAGATATGCAATGTCACAAATAAGCTACTATAAAAAGTGAACCACAACCCACAAGTTATTTCTCTAATACACAAGTTGAGGTACCTAAAGAGGGAGTGATACAGTACGTCCCATTCAATATCCTGCAGAGTGTCGCCGATTTCCGCCTCAAAAATTGAATCTATCGGGCGATTCTATCTCTTTATGGGCCTGTCTTCGCTGACACCAGCGGAGGAACCGATACCTCTTGTTTCTATGTACTTATTTTATTTCTTGCAATGACATTCCTCTGATATAAGAATGTAAACGTTTGGATTGATGTTTTTAGTTAAACACGTTGTAACGGCTGAAAAGACTAAAGGGTTGATATCTACTACGGGTTAATAACTTCTACTATTATTTCTACTATACTACATTAAGATAGTTGTGGGGTAATGTCTGCTAATTTTTATTTTTGTATTAGCGGTAATTGGTAATTCATTTGTAAAAAATTGTAGATTACAGTTAGGCGTGTATTTAAATGATCATTTTAAATTTGCGAAAGCAACCGACAAAAATCTAAACGGCCATCTTTTTTAAATGATTGATCTTCTTCTCTGATACAGAAAACAAATTAAATCAATGCATATTTTAATCTGTTCTGAGCTACGTAAAAATGTTTGATTTATAAATTAACTTTGATAGTTTTATGTTGGGCCTCAGAACTAAATGAGCATTAAAAATAATATTTAGATACTTATTTTTAAAACTAAGTAAATGTAGATTTTATTTGTATACTAGTATTATATTAATTATAATATAATTTGACCTGAAAATATGTTCGGAAACGCAAGCAAATTGGCTTCTGATATTTGCTTTTTCATATGTACTAACCTAACCTAGCCTACTGAATGGAGGGCGCGACCAAGCAACTAAGATTTATTAGGAGATCAGTATCAAAAGATATACTGGCTATAAATCAATCTGGCTGGCATCAATCGTCAAAAGAAAAGATCAATAATAAAACAAGAGGATTTTGAATACCAAATATTAATTTAGTATGTTTAAATATAATGATGGTGTCACTATTGCATTGCAGTTCATTTATAATTTATCCGTAGATCACCTAATACAGACGGAACAATTACTATATATATCAAACATTAATATATATTACGTTTATTTAAAAAAGTGCACATTTACAAAAGATCAATTTTATATCTTTGAGGATCAAATAATCCCTTACTATTATAGCACACACACATAGACCTCATTTTTGTACGCTAATTATTGCCTTCTGAACTTTTCTTTGAAATTAAACTAAATTTTGAAATAGAAAGAAATCCAAAACACAAATTCTCGGTTTCATTGTTCCCATTTATTATTGTCTTTGTTACCCAAATATCCTGTGCTTGCATTGTCATTTTCGTAATCTGTAGAAATCGTGACATTCCGGTGAGATCTTTTATTCAGGTGAACCGCCATTGCGAGATCGGCTGTTCCGCGTTATAAATTTATACAAGTAGCAGTTTATTATTTGCCGACACCTACAGTCTCAAATGGAAATATTATTCAGTCGCAGTGTAACTTAATAATATAGCCTTTGCTACTTACATAATTATGAATCTCGTTTATTTATATAAATAGAAAATGGAGAGATGAGACAGGTCATGTAAATTAAAAGTTATTTATTCCTCAATTATTCGTAAAACTGTGTAGTTGTATCTAAAAAAAAGTTTATGTTCTGAAGTAATACATATTTGTATTGAATAAATATCATCGTTGTATGTTTTGTATTTAGTTCTATACATTAACTAAATTTGTACGAGCTATTTGTCCGTCCATGGGTTTTTCTATTTTGTTGAAGTATGAACAGAATCCTTCAATAAAAAAAAACAAGAATAATATGTAGTTCATGGTTTTTTACTTAAAAAATAATAAATAATGTCTTTTTTTTGTTTTTTTTGAAATTACTTAAGTAGTTTAAAAGAAACATAGATACATAAATTTTTGACGTGGTTACCTAATAAATAGTTTTTAGACTAGATAATATTTCATGTGGCGTTTTTATAGCGTATTTATAGACTTGTTTACGGCATGTTTATGGGGAATAAAGAAGTCATAACTTTATCGATATATAAATAGTTTAAATTAGTTGCGATTCGGTGACACTTCACATGGTTTCAGGGTGGTTTCAGGTATTGGCTATTGTATATGTATTTGACAAAATCTTGGGGGTGCGATCCTTAGAGGATGGATAGTCTAAGGTGCGATCAAGTATCACCATTTGACACATAGCGTCAATCAATAATTATATCAAATATATACTTGCTGTATAGATACCGCATTCGTTCGCACAGGTCCGTTATTACGTTACTACGCCACATACCTCACTCCTCCTGCCCTTCACATACTTAACGCCCGATCATCTAGTCGCGAATAGCCTAAACCAAAAAAGTATTAACCAAATTCCCTAAGTAGAAACTGATGTGTGACAATTTGATATAGTTTGCTAATGATTGAATCGATCAGAATCTAATTAATAATAATCACAAATGATCTATTGTTACCAAGAACAGTTGTGTGAAATGAATTTTGAGTATTAGAATTAAGAAAGCCTAGACACGTGTTTTATGATATATTTGTATAAATAATAACTATGACAATTCAGTTTGCATTTCTATTAATGCATGGGACTCTTCAAAATACTAAATAAGACAAACGGTTAAAAAATAGGCTTTTAAATAAATAGGTTGTACATGGATTTATCTGCGTTTTATCTCTCGTTGCGCATATTAATGTTTCTTTTTGTTTTGTTCATGTGGCCTTTTTATCTCTTCGGAGACGTATAGCTGTATTTACCTAATGTTTCGGTAACAGTTTTGGAAGTAAGAATTCCATTAATGTAGTTTCTTACGAAATTTATCAAGACAGAAGTTTGTACTTATATAATGGTATAATTTACATTGAATAGGAGTATGTGTGAATATGTGCATACGTGCATGATTAGTTTAATACAATATTAAGTAAACTAAAAACAGAAGTAAATATGTCTAGATGTTTAATAATCTTTGTATCAAATATCGAGTGTACTTGAATTGTTTCCTGGAACTAAAAAATATTTTACTCACTTACTAACTATAATATCTACGTACCTATACAGCAGAGACGACATTAAAATGGTACAATACCGACTTCCACTTATTACGAACATCTTGACTTGACTTTGTAAGATGTGATGTGTTTTTTCGAAATTTTACGAATATACTTGTTAGTATGTAAAATTTTTTATTGAATTGATATTCAATTATTTTTGACAAAGATTGAAAACTCAGAAAAAGTTCCTTACGATCCGGTCGGATTCGAACCGACGTCTTCTGCCATACCGTGCCAGACCCTATACCATCTAAGCCACGGATCGAAGGAATTTTTTCTGAGTGTTCGATCTTTGTATTAATAATTATA